ATTTTTGCCAGTTTCGCGCGGAAAAAATTGATTTTTTAAGGAAACATTACCCGCTACGGTAGAAATAGGCATGAAACTTTTGACACCAAAAATTTGCCGAAAAGTGCGACATTTTTTGATTTCTTTAGGAAAGATCATCCTAAAGGTCTTCCAAGAAATGCGAAGGAAAGTTGGAGGCTATAACTTTTGACGGAGGCGGCGCAGAGAGCTCTTTTTTGCAATATTTATTTTTAAGCGACATTAATTTTTGTCTATGAAATAGGAAAATTTTAAAGCACAAACTGAGGTCGCTACGACGTTCTGAAGTAGGGGGATTTCTACCCCGAAAACCAGTACTTTTCGGTTGAAAATCATTGAGAAATTTTGAATTTTTTCGTTTGAAAGTCACCAAGAAGTGTCGGATTTTTTCGGGATTTTGGATAGAGTTGACGTTAAAAACAGGGAAAGATGTTGCAGGAACGTTGAAAATTAAACGACAAGTTCGGCTACCCTTCATTTTGACACTTTGGCTAGACATTCTGGCGCGTTGGCTAGCCCATCCAGGTTCCCCCAGATCCCCGAATGAAAAGCCACAAATGAAATAAAAATCGGCCCTAAGTGAAGGGTAGCCGTATTTTTACTTCATTTTCAAAAATACATATTTCAAAAACGAAGTCTCTGCGCCACCTCAGCCGAAAGTTATAGCCTCCCACTTTCTTTCACGTTTCTTGAAAGGCCCTGTAAATTTTGCCAACTTTCTCCGTCGGGAAAATGATGAGCATTACGCCAACCTCGTCGCAAATGCAGTTTGATTTGTTGCGCCCAAATCGATTTTCTGGCCAGCCAAGTAGAAGGGTTTAGACAACTCCCTTTACAACTAATAATGAAGCAACTTCCCAAACCAAACATGAAATCCAATTGCACTTTGTTTACTCAATAATTTGTTGATAAATCAAGGGCTGCAGCATCGCTGAGAACAAAGACTGGGTTGTAGTTTGGTAACTAGCATTCCGCCGGTCATCGGTTCTCATCGGAATTCCGTTTTACTGTAAAAAACACGCGTTTGCTGAACTAGCCAACAAACTGATGCTATTTATGAAGCCGGATTCAGGAAGAACAAAGAGAAACAAATATTAGATTTGGTGGGCTTGAGGCGTCGATAAGAGGCTTATGACGGAATTGGCTTCCAAATCCCTCATTAGATTCCAATTTCCGGCGGGGAATGAGAACGTCTTTTAGTGTTCGCTCGTTTCATTTGTCAGCGCGCCCATAGTATTAGCATTTCCACAAAGTGCACGGACATTTTCCCACAGTGCATCTTGAATTTTTGTCGCCAACGAACTGTGGATTTCTGCCTTTGCGCACCGTGCAAGCCTCAAAAAAGCCGATTGCACTGTGCACATTTTTGAGCAAAGCCCCCACGGCGCCATTGTGAAAAAGCTTACGTTGCAGCGATATTTCAGTGAGCGCACGGTGCAAGAACTCGCTAATTTTTGTGCACGGTGCGGACCGCTACAAATGTCTAGGCACTTTGTGAAAATGCGGATAGACCGTTCGCAGAGTTGCTCAAGTGATTTTTGCAACATCCACTGTGAAGGTACGAGCGACAGCCCGAAAAAGCCCATTGCACGGTGCATTTTGTTGCTCACTACCGCCAACCATTTGCCTAAAAGTGCAACATTTTTTGACGAGCTGCCACCTAGAAATATCAGCCGTTTCTGCAAATCGCGAGTTAGGGTGTCGCACTTATCTTTCAAGGAATGTAATTCTATGGAGTACGGGGTTAGAGGTCGATAATATTTTAGACTTTTGTTTTCATTCCAAGGCACGGCAGTCCGTCACTATTTTCAACGCCCAGTTGATTTATAGGGTGCTGAAGTCTGTCGTGAAAATAATGAGTACTCCGTCGCATCAAGATGTCGCGTCGCCGCCGAGAAATGAATTGTTTCGCGGCAAACTCAGATTGCTTTTTTCTGCGACATTCTACTTATTATTTTCTCGGCAGGGTGACAACACAAAATATATATACTAGTCGCGGAAAAAAGTCCTGGGAATTTTCTGCGACTCTGCACTGTGCATGAACCCGAAAGGTGCTTTTGCACAGTGCAATTTTGTTGATTTTGCCTTATTGTCGCGCGCGATTCCCGCGACAAATCAACTTTTCGGAGCGCGACGGAATTTTGGGGACGCGAGAAATTCCCAGGACTTTTTTCCGCGACTAGTACTAATCCCTGAGAGTTGTCGCTAGTAAGTTCCAGCTGCAGCCAAGACTCGCACGCTTTTTTTTCGAGAGAGCATGCCGAACGAGGAGAACCGGTCAAACGGAAAACGGTTTTTGCACATTACGATTTTCTTTCCTCACCTATAAGCTTGAAAGTTTTTCAAAATACTGTAATCGATCATGGATTTATAAACCAAAAATTCCAAAAAAAGGGTGTCAAGGCTTTCTCTCCGATCAAGAAACTCGGCGGTTTCTGAATATGTATCAGGAGCTAGGAATCTCGCATGTTTTTTGGGAAATTGTTTTCTAAATGGAGACTACTTTTGTCCAACTTTCTTTGTGCCCTGTCAAAGCCTTAAAATTTTTTGAAATTAGCTTTAAAAAGGGCAGAGCTCTGGTCCGTTCGCAAAGCCGCTGGAGTGATTTTTGCGACGTGAATTGTGAGAAGACTAAAGTGGACCTTGCATTGTGCATTTTGCTGCGTTTTGTACTAGTCCTTCCGGAAAGTCGCCGGACGGAAATCGGCGACATGCACTCTGCGAAATCGAAAGTTCACTTTGCACTGTGCAATTTTTGGCTTTTTGCACTGTGCAATAAGCTTTTTCGAGCTGTCGCTCGCACCCTGAGTTTTTTCTCACAGTGCATGTCGCCGATTTCCGTCCGGCGACTTTCCGGAAGGACTAGTACTGTGCAATTTTAGCTTTGTTTCATTTGTGGCCCGCTCCGTAACTCTCCTCGGCGAGTTTGCGAACGGGCTAGCGCTACTTGGCGCAAAAGTCTAGTAAAATTAAAACGGATGCCCTTATCGGGTTGTCGGAAAAATAGTGAGCATTCTGTCGCATCAAAAATATCATCGTCGCGGAGAAAATGAATTGTGTCGCGGCAAAATCAAATTGCTTTCTACGACGCGATCGGCGCAGCGAGATTGTGCTCATTATTTTCCCGACAAACTGATAGTCTTTTTAAAACATATAAAAGGTATTTTCCGCAACCTTTCTATGTATCCTGCGGTGTTTGATCAAAATTATTGTCGGCTATTTCGTCAGTGCTTTTAAAAAAACACCGCTTCCTTTTCGTAACTCGGAAATTGGATTAGTGACCATTTGTCTAGAATAACACTTTTTGATCCCACAAACCAACAATCCTTATATTAAGCCGCCCTAAATTAATGTTAATTACGAAATCCGGTAAAAAGCCGCTAATTTGTTTCTTTTGCGATGATGGATTGTGTATGATGCGGTACATTTTTTTTATATACGCTGCGGTACATGTTTTCAAGACGCCACGCAATCCTAACTTGACATGACCTCGTGAGATGCAAGCAAAAATTAATTTTCTTGTTGCGAATTAGACGGCAAGAAATGCTTCCGGCTAGTATACTAAGGTCGATGTTATTATGTATAATATCGGCCTTAGTGAACTGTTTTCTTGCGACGCTCAAATTTTGATGTAGCTTGGCACAAATTTAGAATAAGTTTTTCTAAGATATATGCGAGAATCCTAGCCCGCGCTTTGCAGAAACAGCCGAGATTTTTAGATCGAAAGTCAGCGAAAATTTAAGACTTTTCGTGGAATTTCGGCACCAAAAGTTTCATACCTATTTCTAGCGTTATGGGTAATGTCTATGCAAAAAATCAATTTTTTCCGCAAGAAACTGGCAAAGTTATGGCCAAAAAGTGTTTTCTCTCTGACCACTCTCCGATTTTAGCGTACTCAGCGGCAAAGATCCTTTAATATCTCGATGGCGCTTGCAAAGCGCGAGCTAAAACTTTGAGGAATTCATATTTGATTCATGCCCGACGTATGCGCAAAATTTAAAGAAAATCTGAGCGTCGCACTTGGAGTACTTCCCCTATCGGTGAAAATTTTAGCCTGTGCATAGCAAGCGCAGCAGATCCTCTCCGTTCCACAAAGTGTGCCAATTTTTGGCATTTTTTGCACCGAACAGTGCGTGTTGTGCGACGCGATCGTTTTCGAAATTTTTCGTACTGTGCAATTTCTTTTTGTACTCCCAATTCACGCCGGTTCCGTTGAGAGAAGCTTGGGCCGCTGCGATATTGCACTCGTACGGCGCAAAAAGGGGCTTTCTGCGCGGTGCAGTTCACGACAAAAAAGTCTACGGACGGCTAGTATCCGCCTGTCGGGAAAATAATGAGTCCTCTGTCGCATCGAAAATCGCATTGCCGCCAAGAAATCGAACTGTGTCGCGGGAAAATCAAATCGCTTTCACTTCAGCGACACGATCAGCGCAATGACATTGTGCTCATTATTTTCTCGACAGACTGTTATTCAATGACCTATCGAAGAGTTGAGTAAACCAGGAGGGACGGTAGGAAATATAGCAAAATTTAGAAAGTAATTTAATATTTTCAAAGCTAAGCGGTCGATACCCGCTGTATTACAACGATAGAGCCCTCAGGCAACGTTTTGCGATTGAACACTTCGAATTTGGGGTTAAGATGTTTCTCCGGATCTGTCATTCACAACAAAATTAGCCCGCGGCTTACTGTACAACCAAGTCTATTACTCTTCCGGTCCAAAGACGCTACCAATTACGTCCACAGACCACGCATAGACATTTATCCTATTACAAAGGGAATGCCCCAGCTTCGTCCAAGTCCAACATCACTCAGCCGGTCCCATTACTCAGCGTGTCGTACTATGCATACTATGCAATTATTCAATTAACCGCATGTTCAGGGATCGAGGGAACGCCCACTTTGCGCCGTTCCAGTCCCACCAACCCTCCCTGCGGCCTTCTCGCTTTCCGGGGGAACAGCTCATTTTTCGGGACTCAGAAATGGCATGGGCTCAAATCTTCTCCACCGTACTCCTCCTCCTCCTCATCTGCGCACTGCACACGCCATCCGTCCGCGCCTTCCGCTTCTATGAGGTGAGTCGGCTGGAATGGGCGCTAGAAAGGGTTGAAAGATTTTTTTTGCAGCTAAAATACTAGTTTTTTTCGAAAAATCCTTGGAGTGTTTTTTAGTCCTTGCACTTTGCAGGAAGTGTGTGGGCGACAGCCCGAAAACTCTATTGTACGGTGCAAAAAGCCCGAAATTGCACAGTGCAAAGTGAACTTTTAGTTTCGCACAGTGCATGTCGCTAAAATCACTCCAGCGATTTGTCGATGGACAATTACGCTTTACAGAAGTTTGTACACTTTTTTCGGTCTTTTTTTCACACCGCAGTGCGTGTTGCGCGACGCTATTAGCATTTTCACAAAGTGCCTGGACATTTGTCGTAGTCCGATTCTCCGGATATTTTTTCACCGCGTAGTACTAGACGCACCATTAAAGTCCATAGAATTTCAACATCTTAGCCCTAGCGACTTGAACTTTCCTATGAGGGCACCCCGCGACGTCGCCAAAAAGACCTTCGGATTTTATGCGCAACTATATAGTATTGTCTAGATTTTGCTGCAATTTTGCTGCTTGGCGACGAAGGTTCAAGACGCACTGTGCGAAAGCGAAAACATGTCCAGGCACTTTGTGAAAATGCTATTATCCGTTTCGCAAACTTCTGCATTGTGCAATTTTTTGCGTGCCGCAAACAAGGTTTTGTGCGCGGTGCGGCTCACAGTATACTTACTTACTGAAATGGCTATTAGTAGCTACAGTGCTCTTAACCAGCATTTTTTTTGAAAATGATGATAGAGAAAAAAACTTTGTCAAGGCCTTTTGCGTCTTTTCCAATGGTAGTCCGTAGTCGCTGGAATGATCTGACAGACTAGTAGTTTCTCCAAATTTTGCAGCGCACACAGTACGCCTATTATGCCAAAAAAGCAGACTACTAATTGTTGAGTTGAAAATTTAGAACTTATTGTCTGCAAAAACCGACCGGGTTATAAGTTCGAAAGCACTAAAAACAGCCCATAATTTTGTTTTAGCAAGCCTTGGAAAATTCTGACTATCTCTTTGTGTTCCATTGTCAGTTGAAGCTCATATTAGCATGTTCATAAAGTGCGTAGACATTATTGCTTTTGCACAGTGAATTTTGAACTTTTTCCCGCGCTTGTCGCCAATGCACAGTGCATTTTCTTTTTTCGCACAGTGCAAACCTCAAGAGAGCCGTTTGCACTGTGCGGGTTGAAAATTGTCGCTGTCGCGGCGTTGTTTCGACGCACAGTGCGAAAAACAAAAAAAAGAGAAAAATGCACGGTGCAAAATGCGGAGGTTTTTGTGCACGGTGCGGACCGCAAAAAAACTTCCCATGCATTTTATGGAAATACTATCAGTTTGTCGGGAAAATAATGACAAAAAAATCGGCGGGCCGATCGCGTTGCTGAAGAAAAAAGTAATTTGATTTTTACGCGACACAATTCATTTTTTCGGCGGCGATGCGGTTTTCGATGCGAAAAAATGCTCATTATTTTCCCGGCAGACTGATATTTCGCACATAAATTTTGCTAACGAGATTTTTTTGCACCAATTTTTCTCCTTTTGAAGTATGTATTTTTTAGAAACACTTCTTAGGCCGCAAAAATTGATTTGTCATGCTTTTTCGATTTTGTTTCCCGTGCAGTTCCGGCGGATTAATCCGAAATCCTTGGAACGAAAAAGCAACACTTCAATTCCCTATTGTTCCCACTCTAAACCAGCAGTTTTTTTGGCGAAATGTCAACACGCAACATATAGTCACTTCAATCTTTGTTTTGGCCCCGGAAAAGCTCATGATTTATTCCGGTTTCGTATATATATGTATGTATACACATATAGTCAAATGAATTGCTGCGTATGACACCCACATCAACTGATATTATGCTTTTTCAAAAATTGTGTAGACTTTTTGTCCTAAGCTCTCAGCACTGTGCATTGCTAGCTTGTGCACAGCTTTTGCACCGTGCAATAGAAATATCGCCGCGGCGAGGCGTTTTTCAATTGTGTCGTGCAAAAAAAACCAAGCTGCACTGTGCAAATGTCCTCTGAAAAAGCGGAAATCGGTCTGTCGGGAAAATAATGTGGGTTTGTCGCGCAAAATTCTTTCTCTTCATCCCAGTCGCGCACCAAACGTTCAGCTGCGGCTAGTTGTCGCAGAACAATTATAGTAAAATTTCCAGGCGAAATACACATTATTTTCCCGACAGACTGATAATCATCACAATGCCACTGAAGAAAAAAGCGATTTGATTTTGCCGCGGTACATTAGGTATACTTTTTTTGCGATTTTCGATGCGACAGAGTGCTCGTTATTTTCCCGACAGACTGAAATACAATATATGTAAAGTAAAACGCATGCAAAAATTCAAAAAAATCACTAATGGACGTCTCTTTGTTAGTATTCTTTAGCCCCTTTGCGCTCACAATTTTTGAAGTCCGAAGACACACGCTGTAGCTAATGTCACTCTCTATATTTGGCCAGAAATGTTGCAATGTTTGCACTGTGCAAGCTTTCTAAACATTCGGCCGTGTTCCTTAATTAATGCGCAAAGAGCAAGAAGCTCTTCATCGAAGCCGGTAAAGGTTCGTCGAGCAAAAAGCAGACTCCAAAAATTCGAGGGGAACTCAGCGATCGCATACGGAAGTGGTTATTGTCTCGTCTTGGTCATTAATATTACATCTGAAGTGACATATGTGTGTTGCGTGTTTTTTGGGCCAACTCGTTGAACGTAAACAACTTGATGATGTGGGGATTAATGTTGCATAGGAATTTACAAGATATACATACTACTGGCGACAAAAAGTCTTGAGAATTTCTCGCGGTCCTGTCGCATTCGCAAGAAAAGGTTTGTCGCAGCGAAAAATGGGGATCTTAAGGCAAAAAACAAGATTTCACGTTTTCAAATCGCGACTTGAATTTATATTTTACAATGACCTTTGCAATAACAGAATAATAATTCTTTCGTTGAAACTTTTCAAAAAAATAGGAGGGATCGATCTGCGAAAAATGAGACTTCCCTTGTTAGAACGCCCAAAATTTGTCTTGTTCTTATTCTCAAAACGGTGCAGAAATAATTAATATGGCATTCCAGATGTTTATTGCTGTTTGCGTTTCGATTTTTCAGCAAGAAAAGGGAATTTATTTCGACATTTCGTTTGCAAAACCTCCCAAATTCTTCTTACACTATTAGTATTTATTTTGATGAATCACTTGGATATTTGGTTACGATCCCCACCGTGCACAAAAAATCCCCATCATGCACTGTGCATTTCATCTTTTTTGGTTTTTGCATTGTGAATCGAGGCATCGGAGGGACCTAAGCCAGTTTCAAGTACGTTGCTGCGGTGGCGCCAGGAATCGACGCTGTGCAAACGGCTTCTTTGAGCCTAGAGGTGGCAATCGGGCCGGGCCGATTTTTGCGGCCCGGCCCGCGGGCCAAAGTGACCAGGCCGGCCCTGGGCTTTTTCAAATTTGCTTAGTCCCGGCCCGGCTCTGTTTGGCCCGCTAATAAAAAAAGGTTGGAAAAAAGTCTTTGCATTCTTCGAAGCATATTTAGGTGGCATTTTACATGTACATAATCAGGGATTTTAAGGAGTTTTAAAAGATAGTAAAACAGCATATAGGTCAAAAAGTTTTAATTTAATATCCATGCATCAATTCTGCAAAGCATTTGTGCTTTATTTTGCTGGTTTAATATAAAATTTTTTTTTTTACTTTTCCACCATCCGGGCGGGCCGGAGCGGTCAGGCCGACCCACGGTTTTTTTAAATCTGCTCAGGCCCGGCCCGGCCCAATCACCGGGCCCGGCCCAAAAATGCTCTGTGCTTTGGCGACAAGCGCGGGAAAAAGTTCAAAAATACACTGTGCAAATGCTAAAAAATGTAACGAAAATACTAATAGAGAGAGTTCGAAGTAACGAAAATTTAAAATTGAAAAAAATAATCAGTCTGTCGGGAAAATAATGAGCACAATGTCGCTGAGCCGAACGCGTCGCTGAAGTGAAACGCAATTTGATCTTGCCGCGATACAATTCTTTTCTGTTTCACAGTGCAAAAAGCAATACACTACTGCACAGTGCGTGTCGCAGAAATCACTCCAGCGACTTTTTGGACAAATTATCAGCATTTTCACAAAGTGCCTGGACACTTGTCGTGCCCAAAAATTCGCGAGTTCTTGCACCGTGCACTCACCTTTTTTTGGTTTTGCACTGTAAATTTGAAAAATGTCGCAGCGATGTAGGGTTTTCTCAACTGCAGTTTTGCTCAAAAATTTGCACAGTGCAATCGGCTTTTTTGAGGTTTGCACGGTGCGCAAAGGCAAAATTGCACAGTGCGTTGGCAACGAAAATTCAAGATGCACTGTGCAAGAACGAGAAAATGTCCACGCACTTTATAAAAATGCTAATTAATAGAAACCACTCCAAATACCAGATCCCCCATAAACCTCCGTGTTTCAGATGACACCAGCAGAGAACTCAGAGGAAGCGGCGATTGTGAAGCGACAGAACGACTGGAAGCAAATGTTCGGCCAGAACTTCAAAGCCGAAGCCGACGAAGGCAACTTTGGCTTCAAGGGACTGCGCGGCAAACGCGGCGACATGCAACGAGCACTGCGACGGCCCTGCAACATTTACAAATTGATCAGTTGCTACTAATTATTTATCCCAATAACCCCCATTGTATTATACACGACAGAAAGAAAAACGAGCAGCGGTTCTAGACTTTTTCTTTTGTCTCCATTTCCTCAGATGTTTTCAACGTGCTTTACGTGCCGAGTACAACATAAATAGCAGTTTTGTGTGAGGGAGGAAGATTGGTGAATAAAGAAAGTTTTGGAGTGTGTGTTACCAAAGGTTTCCATAAAGTTCGCAGACTTTTCATGGCTAGGTGAGAAAATTCTTTTTGCACCGTGAATTCCATCTTCTGTACCGTGCAATCGGTCTTTTTATTGCATGTGCATTTGCACTGTGCAAACAGGTTTCTTGGGATTTGCCGTGTGCGTCGGGAAAATAAAGTCTTCGCATTTCATGGAAGGACTAGTAAAACTCTAGGTCATAGATCACAGAAAGCTAGAGCTGACAATCGGGCCGGGCCGGGCCGGACAGTAAAAATAAAAAGCGGGCCGAAGTAATCAGGGGGCTTTTTCAAATTTGCTCAGGTCCGGCCCTATTTGGCCGGCTACTGCAAAATGTCTTTGCACGGGCCGGGCCGGCCCAGCCCGATTGCCACCTTTACAAAAAGCAAAAGGCTTTGTTGAGTACCGCCAGAAAGTTCCTGAAGTTACGTCCCGTGGCAACCCAGGGAGTCTCCCGCCACCATTTTGGCACTTCGCCCACCCAGTATCGTTTGTATTCGAGCGAAATGTCAAAATTGCATTTTTCGTGGGGTTTTCCGACCGAATTTTTTTTCCGGAATTGCCTTATAAGGCCTTATTTTTTGTCAATTGCGACATTTCGTTTGAACGAAGCTCGAAAGCGGGCGGAAGACATTTTTGTTCTATTTTGGGTTGCCGTGCGTCCATCACATCTTCATCAACTATTATATCAGTCTGTCGGGAAAATAGTGGATGTCCTTGGAATCGCCCATCATCGCTTTGAATAAGGCTTCTTTGTCCTATAAATTCATCGATGGACACTTCTGGAATCCCTCTCGTTTCAAAGTCTTCAGCCCTCAGTCTGTCGGGAGAATAGTGGAAGGACTTGGAATCGCCTATCATAGCTTTGCGATGGTAAGCCGCAACTGGAAAATTGGTGCGCGATTGCACCGTTTTTCGATGAGAGGAAGAATTTGGTTGCGCCGGCCCGCGACTATTTTCTCGACAGACTGACGGTACATAAAACGGAGTATTTTTACGACTTCTACCTCGTGGGTTGATTACTAGTCCGTTCGGCAACACTTTTGCTAGCAACAGCTGGTCAGGAAAATAATGAGCGCAATGTCGCAGCGCCCGTCCCGTCGCTGAAATGGAAAGCAATTTTATTTTGTCGCGGCACAATCCATTTCTCGGAAGTGATGCGATTTTTGATGCGACAGAGTGCTTATTATAATACTTTCCCGATAGACTTATAAGATCTAATTACTAGAATTATATTCCTTGACAAATCCGTTACATCATACGTATTACTAAGGTAATTCGTTAAAAAATTTGTCTGTCTTCCCTTAAGAATAAACCACATTTCACCGCCCATTACGACCTCACTAAGGGTATTATTGTTTAACGGCATGACGCCTTTAACCTTTAATTTCGGCTGATGATTTAATTTCGGGGTGCAGCACCTTAGGACTTTTTGTGTCGCAAAGGACATAGCTCCGATATTATTATACTTGTGTTGTTGTGCTGTGGCTTCGTAAAAAAATTTACTTTTTTGTCGACGAATGGTCCTACCAGGAGATGAATCAAATCATGAGGTGAGACTGTGGCACTTTTTTATCAGTCTGTCGGGAAAATAGTGGGACTTCCCGCGCCTTGAAGTCGCGGCGGAACAAACCGCTATCCGTTTAGCCGCAACTGGAAATTCGGCGCTAATAACACTTGCAAGTGATCGCTGATTTACACCGCTGTTATTTTGCCAGTTCTTTCAGCTAAGCCGTTTTCGAAAAGAGCCGAAAAAACAACCATTGCTTTTTAAATTTGTCGTTGGCATTTCAGCATTGCCTACATGGAAGTGCAACAAGTGCGTCGGAATTTTGGTGTAGCTTGGCACAAATTTTATCTGGGTTTTCTGAAGATATTTATGCGAGGTTGCGCTTTACAAAAACGACCGAAATTTTGAGCAAAAATGTGGCATTTTTAGCGTGTTGTGACGTGAAGAGGTTTGTACTAGACGGGCCAAAAAGTTTCGCACTTACAACCAGAGATTGCCACGGTCAAAATTTCGGCTCCGGCTCTTAGCTGAGAGATCGCAAAGCCACCGTTTTTGCTGTTAAGTCGTACGCAACACATCTTTCAAAATATTTTCCGAGCAATTTCGTTTAACAAGACCACAAAATTTTTACTTTTCTGAACGCTGAGAAGCTTGGCTTCGACGTTGGGCCCGGGAGCCGGAACCACACCCAAAAATTCCGGCTCCCGGCTCGGAGCCAAGAGCCGGCTCCGAAGCCATGGCAATCTCTGCTTACACACCTAGTTATATACATAAAATGGCTAGAGCTAAGGATCCACAAAATATCTATTCTTTACTGAAAAAAAACACATATTTACCTCTTCAGAGTATTTGATGAGCCGATGATCCGCCAATTGCACGCCCTGCTGCCCTACTTGGAGCTATGGTTGAGTTTCCCCGGCTTGGTGATGAACTGCTATTTTGCGTGGGCCTTCAGCTCCATCAGCATGTATAACGCGAATTTCAGGATTCTACTGGTAAGAGTTTGCGTGACGCGGGCGACAACTAGCAGACACACGCTACTATAAAAGTTCCAGGCTGTCGGAAAAATAATGTGAATTTGTCACAGCAAAGTGTCTCGTCGCAGTCGCGCACCAAATCTCCAGCGGCGGCTAGCCGTTGCAAAGTTATGAGCGAATCCAAGGCGCGACAAACCCACATAATTTTTCCGAGATGTGTAGGGTGTTGCGAGAAATATGCCGGAAAATTTTTGCCGTTTTCTTGGAGCTCAGTCAAGGTATTCAAAAAATTATTTTTGCAGGATAAAGAAGAACATGGGCGGTTTTTTGTCCAGAAAGAATCATTTTCTCCGCCAGCGCGGAAAGTGTTGTATTCGGCGGAGACATTTGATCGCTTTTTTGGTCATCACCCCAACTTTAAGCGCTTTATTATAGCGCTGAAATTTCCGGAAAGCCTTGAAATTTTTGACATATGTAATAGATCAGACAGACAGCGGCATTGCTATGCGTCATTTAGCGACTGCTCGGTTGGCGGAGAAAACAATTTTCCCTTGCAAAAAACCGCCCATCTTCTTCTTTATCCTGCAAAAAGAATTTTTCGGACATCTTGATTGTGCGCCGAGAGATCGACAAAAACTTTCCGGCACATTTCTTGGAGCACCCTGTATGCTAATGGCATAAAATTCCTCCATGAATGTTGACTTTCAGATCACCCTGAACCTAATTACCTCAGCCGTGTCGATGATCCATCCGCTCTTTCAAATCCTCCCCGAACAACTTCATTCCACAGAGAATGGAGTCACCCCGTCCACTGTGATCTTATACTTTTTACTGTACCTGCAAAATGTCGGCATCTTTGTGCTGGACGTCAAATTCCTGCTAATGGGGTTAGAAAGGCGAGTGGCGTTCAAGTTCCGCGATACCTACGAGCACAATCACGGTGGTGTGATGAAATGGGGATTGATGTTGTTGGTACGTTGAAAGAATATAGTGTTATCTTTTATATGTATTTCTCAGATAACCGCTTCTGCAATACTGGCCGCTGTGAAAGCCGCATATCTTTTTATCAGCAGTCAAGGAAGCGTCGATGCGGCCTTGCAAGACGCTTTTGTCTTGGAGAGAAGTCTGGCTGTATTTGTTTTCTCCAATACGCTGGCTGGCGCCAGCTGGTGCTACGGGTATTGGGTAAGTATTTTTCTTTTTACCTCCCTTCGGACATACTATTAGCATTTTCACAAAGTGCATAAACATTTTTTCGCTTTCGTACAGTGCAACTAAACAATCCAATGTTTTGAATTTATTTGGTTTGTAAGTGGCCGGGACAACCGTTTTTTTATTCGAACGAAACATTTATCTTATAAGACCTTTTATTATAGGGTCTATCTTAATTTGATACAGTAACTTCCGAGTCTATAATTGTTCGTTTTTGGTTTGTTAACCCAAGTCTGAGACGTTGAACAAATTGGCTGGAATAATCGAGTTCACCGTAAATTAATTTTTGAGACAACGGAGTACCGTAATTGTCGCAGAGAAGGGATCTACGACAACAGCGGTTTCAACAGGCTAATGCCAATTTAAAAAAAAAACTTTTTAGTAATGCTTTTTTTACATCTAGCCTCAGTCATGGCGTTACAAAGTGTGGAAAAGTATCAATAATCTCAGAGAGCGACATGTGTTTTATCGCTTTTATATACTGTATACTTTTCCACACTTTATCGCTTTGTCTGAGGAGCCGCTAGCTGTAAAAAACGCATCACAAAAAATTTTTCTTTTTTGTAGCCGTATTTTGCTCACAAAAAAGTTCGGAATGATGTCTCCTTTACGGTTGCAATTCATGTGAAAAATCTCAAAAAAACTGAACCATTTTTTGCCGACTTTCGACCAAAAAAATCTCGGTCGTCTCACATCTCTTTTGGCCCATCTATAGCAGTAGTATGTCCCTCAACCGTCAATTCTCGATTTTTCAGGAAACTCTCCGCCTCAAGAAGTCCGTTCTGCAACATCAATACTCCGCCCAAACGCTCAGCGAAAGCTTTGAGATCAAGCAGACTGGGGAAGTGGTCCAGTTGGTCGAATACATGCTACGGATGTTCATTTTATGCGTTGTGTTATGTGGAAGTTGCACAGCCATTGCGATAGTCTTACGAGTCTACGGGGAAATTCCAACCGGTTCGTATCAGATGCACTTTGTTACAAACGTAGGTCAAGCTTGAGGTTGGGCAGTTGCTTTACAGAGAAGAAGGCTTTAGTTGTCAGTCTGTCGGGAAAATAATGACCACAATTTCACTGCATAATTTCAATTTGCCGCGACAAAATTCACTTTCCGGTGGCGATGATACTTTCGAGGCGACAGAGTGCTCATTATTTCCCCGACAAACGGATATTTCCGGAGGACGCGGGTTACACAACATATTGACCATAAAGCATAAATTTTTCAATATCAACTGCCCCGAGTTACTGAAATTTTTAAGCTTTGCTTTGCCACAGTTCCAACAAGCCCTCTCTTTTAGCTAGAGTACGTTATTGTTGGATTTTACAACCTCTACTCAAGTCTGCTGATGATTTTTTACTTCAAACCATTAAAGCGACGGCTGGTCAAAGATCTCACGTCCTTTCTCCCGTTCCTGTCGTTGGCGAGGCTCGGTTCTCCGCGGAACAGTGTTGTCGCCCCAAGAGCAGACAACATTGAAACCGATGTGTACTTCCAGACCCTGCAACGGATGTGGAACCGGCCACAAATTAATACCTCTAAACCAGAATCTTAAAGTTTTAAGCAGACTTTAAAAATCCGAGTTTCTTCGTTGTTTTGCCCAAACAAGGGATGTTTTTGCTTTGGAAGACACCTCTCTGGTATTTGACCCTGAAAAATAAAGCGATACGACTTTTCAACCTAGAGGCATTTTTTTGGTCTTTTCTCATTTATCAACGATTGTTGACCATCTCAGCCGCGCTTGTACGGCTAGACAAACCTGTAGAATTTTCTTTAAGTTCATGGACATTTTCGCACAAGCGCAAAAACAACCCCATCTTGCAGGTTTAGTCAAAGGGTTTTTATTAACAGGGGAAGTACCCCAAGTACGACGCTCAGATTTTGACAAAACTTGGCACAAATTTAGAATACTTCTTTTTAAAATGTCGAAAGGCCCGACAACCCAGTAACGAGACGAGATGCTCAAGAATCAAGTGATTTATTTAGTGGAAAGGAGGCCCTTTTATAGGGAAGCCCCACGTAGTACAATCAAGTTTGAATAAATGTAGATTGTTCCTCGTGGGAAAATCCTCAAAGCTCGGTCGTTCCGAAAATAAATGCGAAAATCCTAGCTCGCGCTTTGCAGAAACAACCGAGATTTTTACATTGAAAGTTGGCGAAAATTTGAGACTTTTTGCCGAATTTTGGCACGAAAGGTTTCATACCTATTTCTACGGCCACAAAGATGGGCTCCATATGGGTTCAATATCTCGGTGGCGCTTGCAAAACGCGAGCTAGAACTTTCAGGAATTGATATTTACTTCATGCCCGGCATGTGCGCAAAATTTAAATAAAAATATGAGCGTCGCACTTGGGGTACTTCCCTTGTAAACAAGTAAACAAGACCCATTTTTTTGCAATTTTCGCGCCTTGCTTCAAAATATCGCCGAGATGTACGCTTTTCAACTGCGCCGCTGCCATTTTTGCCAGATTATTCGCACGCTGCGAACCGCTTTTTCAAGAAAAACAACTTTGAAATGAACTGTGCGCAGCGGCAAAAGGCAAAAAATATGGACTTTATAAAGACACTAACAATAAGTACTTGAAAAATGCAAAAAAAAACTCGTTTGTTTGCACGTCCTTCACTTCGAAAAAACAGCTATCTATTTTTTAACACAACCAACGTTGGTCAGAAAACACCGCTTACCTACACGATTTGTGGTCAGACAAGCAGGCTGTGCCAACAGTTTCATACCGTTCTTGTAGGTGTAACATCCGCTTTAAAAAGGTTCAAAATCACAAAATCCGGTATTCGACGTCATGAAAGTGCTATATTTATCGTGGTTGGTTTCATTTTTCCTCCACGAATATGTTGCTGGAGATGTTCTGAGCATTGCTGCGAAAAAGGCGCTGCTCAAAACTCACAATGACCATCGGCGGAGGCTTGCCAAAGGCGAGGAGTTGAATAAGGAGAACAAAAATATGCCCAAGGCGGCGAATATGATGAAAATGGTAAGGAAAGAAGGATGGAAATTACGTATTATGGGTCTTACATCTTTTCACTAACACTCAGTGAAATCGCACATGTTATCTACGAAATTTCCAGTTCTACAACAAGAATCTGGAGAAGAAAGCGGATGAATGGTTGAAGAAATGTCAATTCGCACGTGTACCAGGAGTGGAAGGTGGGCAAAACCTCTACATGGTGTCGTCCGCGATGGAGCAGGGTGCGTTTGAAGCTGATGGAAGGTAGTCTCAAAAATTTGGGTGAAACTTCCTTTTTCTGGCCCAAGCGAAAAGAAGGTTTTACAGCTTGCGCCCAAACAATTGCAAGGAATATCAGGCTTAGGAAGGTTAGGCTTTGCCTTAGGCTTAGTTTAGCGCTTAAGCTGCTTTCTATTTTTATTCGCAGTCTGCAGGGAAACCAGGGCGCAAGCTGCAAAGCGCCGGGCCAGGAAAAGGAAGTTTTGCCAAAAATGTGCGAGTACCTTCGCAATGTCCAAACCTTTCTGGACTTGGTCTAGGAAGTACTCCTAGTTACATACAAACGTCGTTTTTACCATTGACACATTCGAAACTGGTGTAATCGTGATATATTTTCTGAACATACTAAAATTTAACAATTTAGAGTCATAATATGGCTCCTATTTTATGAACATATAGGTGTATTTCAATGCCAAAATACACATTTTTTTTGCAGAGGCGGTAGTGGTACGGGCTGCAGAGTCTTGGTGGAGCGACCTGCCAAAGAAGTACGCAACAACTAGTGTTGATTTTTCGTCTCTGAATGCGAACGAAGTGGGGCATTTTACACAGGTACGAAAACGTTTCTTATGGTGATATATTTAGATGGGATGTACTAAGTGCGAGGCTCAGATTTTGATTTGACTTGGCACGAATTTAAATTAATTTTTTCTAAGCTATACGCGATACTCGGTTTGCAGAAACGACCGAGAATTTTTGGTCGAATTTTGAAAAAATATGCCGCTTTTTTGCGAATTTTGGCATGAAAATATCAGTCTGTCGGGAAAATAACGGCGGATCGTCACATCAAAATGTCTCGTCTCGCCGCTATCGCGAACCAAATTCCCAGCCGCGGCTTGAAGTCGCAAAACGATGGTGGGCGATTCCGAGGCGCGACGATCCGCCGCACGGCAACCCAGGGAGTCTCCCGCCTCGTTTCGGCGCTTCGCCCACCTAGTATCGGTTGAATTCAAACGAAATGTCAAAAATGAATTTTTCGTGCGGGTTTCCGACCGAAAAACATTTTTCTCGGAATTATTTTATTTCTTTTGTGAATTTCGACACTTGTGGGCGGGAGACATTTTTGTTCTATTTTGGGTTGCCGTGCGCCGTTATTTTTCCGACAGACCGATATTCGTATGTTATTCTACGGCAGACGGAAACCTTTTACGAAAACATACATTTTCCTCCTTAAAACTGGTAATGACGTGGCTAAAAAGTGTTTTTCTCAATAGTCGCCCTCCAGGTTCTGCCTACTCTCTCGGCAGTCGTTCAATATCTCAATTATGTCTGCAAAAAGCGATCTAAAATTTTCAACAATTGATATGCCCCTATACCCTACGCGTGTGCAAAATTTGAAGAAATGCTGAGCATCTGTGCGTCGCACTTGGAACACCCATTTCCTATGAGAACCTCTGATCCCTTTTTTAGATGGCCTGGGCCAAAAACCGTCGCGTCGGATGTGCCGTGCAGAAGTGTGACTCCGGAACAATGGTCGTCTGCTTGTATGGAACTGGCAACGTTGCGAAAGAGAATGTGTACGAAATCGGTGAGCCGTGTTCCGGCTGTGCTGAGGGTACCTATTGCGAGGACGCCTTGTGCGTGATGAACTGTCAAAAACAGAAGAAAAAGTAGACAACGGGTCTTTTGAAAAAAACACTTTGAATTGATTGTTGTCATAGTAATAAATGTGCAATTATATGTATAATAGCTGGATTTTTTCTTTCAGTCTGACAATTATACTGTACAGGGTCTTTCAAGAAACGGGGAAGAAAGCCGGAGGCTATAACTTAAAAAATAATTGAATTTTGAATTGAATTTTTGCTTGACTTTCAACGTGTTGGCAATTTTCTTCCCTGTTTTCAACGTCAACTCTGTCCAAAATCTCGAAAAAATTCGAAATTTCTTGGTGAACTTCAACCGAAAAACACTGGTTTTCGGGGTAAAAGGGCCCTCCTTCAAAATGTCGTAGCGACCTCAGTTAGCATTTTAAGATCTTGTTGTTTCATCCAAAAGAATAATGTCGCTTAAAAATACATATTCCAAAGACTAAGTCTCTGTGCCGCCTCCGCCGGAAGTTATAGCCTCCGAATTCCCTTCACATTTCTTGAAAGACCCTATATACAGGGTGTTCCCAGAATTATGGAAAAAACTATTCATTAATAACTTTGAGCTCGGTGGTCCAATCCGAAATTTTTTGTTGCATTTTGCAGAAAAACCTTGGAGTTTTTAGAATCTAAAAAAATTTTTTTTGTTTTATCGGCGGAGACTCCCGTAATCCGCCTTGCATTCGGCGGAGTGCTTCTTTCACCAACGACGCCGTAAACTGTTGTATGTGTGAAGAAAATGGGCGGGAAAGGATTCAGAAGATACAATATGACGTTTAATTCAAATTTTTGTCATTCGGCGGCGACATTTTTTAAAGGGAAAATGTTTTTCGCATAGAAATAGAAATGCTTTTTCCTAGAAAACTTATTTTTAGAAAAAATGATTTTTTTCATAGAAAAAAACATTTTTATTTTAGAAAAGAATGCTTTTTCTTTCGAAAGTGTAATTCTTAGTAAATTTGTGGATAATTATAACAAAAATTGAGTTAAAACAGTAATTAGTAGTAAATTTTGTTAAGTAGTAGTGTAAAATAGTAAGAGTGGTAACTTTTTGAGTGAGTATTGGGGACTGGGGTATTCGATGGTGTTGATTTCGAAAACATAGTTCGTTTCTTGTGATTTTGACTTTTTTCTTAAAGCAGTACTGTAAGTTAGTAACAATTTTGATTTTTTTGATTAATTTTTGAATTTTTTAATTGAGTATTCCTTCTGGTTCGTCAGAATTTGTCTGAAGTTATATAAGGGTTAACTCAAGGATGAGCAAGAAATCGATTTCAATCGACATTGACGGCATAAATAATACAAATTATTACTAACTTACAGTACTACTTAAGAAAAAGTCAAAATCACAAGAAACGAACTATGTTTTCAAAATCAACACCATCGAATACCCCAGTCCCCAATACTCACTCAAAAAGTTACTACTCTTACTATTTTACACTACTACTTAACAAAATTTACTACTAATTACTGTTTTATATCAATTTTTGTTATCATTATACACAAATTTACTAAGAATTACACTTTCTAGGGAAAAACCATTGTTTTCTAAAATAAAAATGTTTTTTTCTATGAAAAAAATCATTTTTTCTAAAAATAAGTTTTCTAGGAAAAAGCATTTTTATTTCTATGCAAAAAACATAGACCCTTTTTTAAATCCGTCGCAAAGCAATGATGGGCGTTTCCAATGCGCGATGAATCCACATTATTTTTCCGACATACTGATAGAGAACGACTTAACAATTTATTTTTGTCGCGACACAATTCACCTCGTCGACTGCAATGTTATTTTCGATGCAACAGAGTGCCTATTACATATTTTCCCGACAAACTGATAAACTGGATGATTTTTTTTATCAACAACTTCATTTGTTCTTCAAGGCCATTATAAAATGTAGTTTCAGTTTTAAAATAAGTTAAATATTTCGTTTGACGCCCTCAAAATTTTTTATTTGTTTCCATAAAAGTGCAGCGATTCTGATTACCACGCAATTTGGCCTAAACTATACAATTGTGACTAATTCGTCATAAAAATCTATCTTTCAACCCGGATAAAATGATTCATCAGAACGAAAAACAGAGTTTATGAAAGAGCAAGTTTCATGGAAAGCGCTATTGTTGGCGTTAACAGGTCCCGGCTTTTTGGGTCGTCGACTGTTTGAGTCGTCATAAAATCGATCGATATGAGGTGTACAGAGATGGCTTTGGCGTGGCCCGGCCGTTTGAAAATTTTTAAAATAACGAAAAGATTAGATAACAAAAAGTTATTAAGGATGTCAAGGTAATTAATTCGCGGATGTGAGGAAGTGAATCAGTTTCCTAGAAGAGGCCACAGGGGGATGTTAATAGTCAATATAGTCGGCGCAAAAAGTCTTTGGAATTTTCTGCGACTCCGCACTGTGCACGAACCCGAAAACACATTTTGCACCGTGCATCCGGCCCGAAAAGTGCTTTTGCACAGTGCAATTTTGTTGATTTTGCCTTAATGTCGCGCGCGATTCCCATTTTTCTCAGCGACAAATCGACATTTCGGAGTGCAACGGGATTTGGGGGCCGCGAAAAATTCCAAAGACTTTTTGCGCCGATAATGTAACTTTGCTTCCCCTTTTGCCTTTTTCCTGCCGACCCCGACCGGTGAGGGGGTACTCCATCCCCCTTGGCTACGCCCCCGTGCGCTTTCGAAAATATCCGTTACAACTATGTCTTATAGTTGGGTGTATGCAAGCTCGTTAAACAACGATTGAACTTCTTTGTCTGTCAGTTCTCTAACTGACTAATGTTTGTCAAATAATTTTGTTTTATGTTTAATAAGAGCGTCATTCCCAACTGCATTCCTTTGTTGTCTTATTGTCGAACTCTGAATTTTTCTGTGAGGTGTCATATAATCAAATAAGACCTGATATGCCCTCCGAATTTGATGGAAAATAAGCATGTGTCATGCACATTTTATGGAAAGATTACCAATGATTTTTTCGCCCAAAAAATCTCTTTAATATTCGGGTCAAGTCTTCACAGATGTTGAAAAGATTGACCAATGTAAATTTCATCTTGCGGCATGCTGAGAAAAGCAGGCCGATGCACAAGAAAAAGGTTGCAATAAGTGCATAGGAGGCCTAGCAAGGCAGTTTTATCTTGCAATTGATCATGTGAGTGCATGCAAAATACCTCAAAATGGGGGGGGGGGTAGCTACCCTAGGATCCGATTATCTTATTATTTCTTCGAACTAAGCCTTCTCCCAACACATAACGACGAACCGACATGATCCAATGTATCGTTGACCCGAACTGCCACCGTCCCAAAAAGCCATAGCGCACTGCCTAAAATCTCTGGCATACTTGGTCCCTTCGAAACGCTAAAAAATCACCTTTTGCTTGTTGTAACGGATCTTTAACCCACAAAAACCAATTCCATGGACAAAATATGACAAATAAAAAATGATAGCAATTATTTCTTAAAGTTTGCTCAGCCGCCCAACCTTTTGTAACCCGGCATTCATTTTGTGGCTCGGCCTTTATAAGGCCTGCATTCGTTTGAACCAACATTGGGACATTTGGAGAAATGAGGTCGGCCGTTGTTAGTTTGCTAATCGTTGGGCTCTGCTCGAATGTGCACGCCTCTTCCACAGATTCTACAGCTGGTACCGCGGCTAGCGGAGCCACTACCGCAGCTAGTGGAGCCAGTGGCGGATGTGCGGACAAAGGATGGGAGTGCCCGCAGAGGGCGAACCTCTGCAACAACGCGGTAAGGAGTCTAGCGTGGTGAATATATGAGGGTCATAGCACCATTTGTAATATATCAGTCTGTCGGGAAAATAATGGGCGAACTGTCAGCGCCGATCGCATTGCTGAAGTCAAAGCAATTCGATTTTGCCGCGACGCATTTCATTTTCTCGGCGGCGATGCGATATTCGACCGAGTGATAATTATTTTCCCGACAGACTGATAGCCATCCTTTGTTCATCTTTTTTGAATCGCTTTCCAGCGGCCCTACTAAGTTTTCAACCATATTTATAACTAATTCCAGATATACTATCCTCTGATGACCGACCAATGTCCGGCGACGTGTGGCCGCTGTGCTGGTGGCGCGACGGGCGGCGGCGGCGCAGGCGGCTGTGCGGACGGCGGACCGGACTGCCAGAAAAGTAAATATCTGTGCACGGCGACGGTAGGCTGAACCTTTTTTGTTCTGCATCCCGTCAACCATGAATTTGACTAATTTTTCTGTTTTTTAGCTGTACCAAGCCTTCATGGCGAAGGAGTGCCCGTTGACGTGCGGAAAATGCGGTGGAAAGAGGTGAAGAACGACCGGATTCAATCCATTTAACACTTATTTTTGAGTCGCAATAAAGACAGAGCATAAGGCACTTTTATTTTGTGTAATATGGGTGTCAGCTTGTCGGGAAAATAACGACCACTCTGTCAAAGCGAAAATCGCATCGAAAGCGAATTGTGTCGCGGCAAAGGCTAATTGCTTTTTGCTTCAGCTATGCGACCGACATTGTGCCTATTATTTTCCCGACAAAACTGGCACTATACTTTACAGACGAAGACCCAATTTTGCATAGTGCGTTTCACCTTTTGAGCCCCTAATTTCCATAAAGTGCATTTGTCAAATTCAACAATCAAAATTAAATTATTCGTTTCTTTAAGCAGAAAAACCCCTGAGAGGTGATCAAGACGGGGTCAGATGAGGTTTAACCGCGTGAACACGAGTGCTGGTAGTAAGAATTGAAGATGTTGGAAGACGCAGGTGTATGATCGACAAATTCTTCAACAAAATCAGTCGGTATGGTTTGATAAAGTAGAGGATAATAATGCAATCCAATGGAGTATGAACGAGCAGCAATAAAAACCCGTACATTGTGTACTTTGGCAGATTCCTGACGCCCGCAATGGGCAAGACGACAAACACCATGACCGGGCCCAGCAAGAACAACACGAGTACGGAAGTTTGAGCAACCAAGGACTTGAACAACATCATTTGCAGGCGATATGTGTGTGGGGAAAAGCATCTCCGTTGGATTAGATTGTACATAGCGCACATGACGAGCATGCCGAGCGCCATAAAACCGGCCAGAATAAAGACCTCGGGGATCAAGGCTTTGCTGGCCGACGTGCCGTACGCGAAACACGCGGCGGTAGGATGCTCCTGGAAGACCTTGGCCAAAACTGGGTCCACCGCAGAAAGCCGGCTCTTGGCTTCGTCTTGGTCGGGGTTCAGAAGGAGGAATGGCAGCTGAAATCAGAGGAGGTTGCAAAGGGAAGTGCCCTTAGTGCGAGGCTCATTTTTTTCAATTTTGCCTACAATTCCGGCAAAGTCGCATTGCAATCGCTTTAAAAACCTACCACCGCAGAAATCCCCAGCACCAAGGAAATGATGACACGGATTGCTAGCTGCGCTTTTCCTCTCAGATTCAAACAGAATGCCCTGTAGCTTGAGTTCCCCAGAAGGCATTGGGAGTATCGATGCTCAAACTGAAAGGCAATTGCCGTCACTTTGCTGACTATCGAAGCGATTCCACACATCACATACACTTGAACATATTCACTCGGCAAATGGCTGGCAATGTTCTCTCCGTAATAGCACGGGATTGGATAAAGAACAACGCCGCCAATTAAGGCCGCAAAAGTATCAAAACTCAAGGACCTGAAAATAGTTTACATATATGAGTATACATGTATAAATTTTGTGCCTTACCATGCCAATTCATTGATCAGAAACCAACGGTATTTGGAAAGACTCTTTGGCGATGCTAAAGTAATATGATTATATATTCACAATATGATGACAATTCGCACATAAAGGACTTTAACAAACCTACATATAATCATTATCCACATCGTTCCCAACACAACGACCAGGGTAATCGAATACGACACGTACTCGAATCTTTTGTAAAAGGTCATAAATTGCTCCGATGGTAGTTCTGATTCATCCATCAAGATCCCCATCCTGTTGGATAGAATTTAAAATGGGCATAAAATAGTCTAAAGTATAATATTTTAGAGTAAAATAAACTTTGCGCAATTACGGAAAAGTGCGCATAGGGGGTCAAAAAACCGACGAGAACTTGAGACTTTTTACCGAATTTAGGGTCTGAAGGTTTCATACTTGTTACTACCGTAAAGGGTATTTTTTTCCACAAAAAAATTATTTTTTCCGCAGTAAAGTTATGGCCAAAGGTATTTTTTTTCTCTGACCGCTCTCCTCGTTTAGTGTACTCTCTCGGCGGCAAAGATCGTTCAATATCTCGGGGGCGCTTGCAAAGCGCGAGCTAAAACTTACAAGAATTGATACTTACCAGAAGAGAGAAAAACATTCGAAATGACTTATCCCCAGACAAATTGTTATTTAGGATACCATTTTTTCCATTGGTTCGTTGAACAGTAATTGTCAAAATGTATAAGGAATACAATTTCCGCTTTTTCCAGTCTACATCGCTGTGTAACACCAATTCCGCAGTAGTTTGACTTACAAGAAGTACAACGTTCTTTGACTGAAAGAGAGTACGTAAAAGGGGGAGAAAATCGTTTTAGTCTTTGCGAATCGTCGTGGAATGATTTTGTGTAGAAGTATTTACACTATTTTTGCAAACAGAATCCCATTTGTTCTTTCCTAACTGCCTGTCAGATTCCACGGAACCTGGAGTTATCCACGATGTGTCAACTCGATGGAATTTATGGAGAGAGAGAGAGATGTCCCCTATGTCAACTGTTTTCCCCAGTTGTTTTTCCCCGATGTTCGAGAATGTTCGGTGGAGAGATCCCGAAGCGGAGAGCCTGAATCACGACACCGTAACCTTCTCTGAGGTTTTATCCCATACTTTGATCAGTTGTTAGTTCGGGTAGTTGTGTTGTTGTGAAGTGTAGTCGTGTTGTAGAGTGGTGTTGTGTTGTGTTGTTTTGTTGCCTTATTTATTGTATTGTTTACTATTGTTTGATAAATCATTTATTCGAGTTGATCATCCTCTATTCTCGTGTCTATTTCCAAGGGGAACGAATACAATCGATTACCCGACATCCATATCCGCAACCTTCCACTTGGAAGGCCAAGTATTTCCAGGTAGAAGGTGCTGAAGGTAGTCGATTGAAGAGACCACCGCAAGACCACTAGCCATATCGTTGTTTTCTTTTCTATCCGAAGGTGGAATCGGACACTGCCAAAATTCAAATGACTAGAGCGTCCGTAAAGTTGCTGCAGTGACTTCAGCGACCTACACTGTACGTCGGCACCCTCACTTTTCTTTACTGTGCATGTCGCAACTGAAAGGAAAACAATTATTTTATCGCGAGAAAACTGTAGGCATTGGACGTGTGCTGCAATAGTCAAAATAAGATGCAAAACACACATATGTCTCGATTTTGGGATATTGTAGCAAACGACTTTCTGTGACGCATGTATATCAAGAAAAAGACATCCCAGTATATCTTTGGAGCGGCCTGACATCATCTGCACTACATTTTCACGGACCCGACTCCTCTTGAAACCATTGAGGAATCTTGAAGATACAGCCTATAAAAAGGAACTTTTGGGGAAAATTTTATAAGAAACTCAAATAGTATCGCAATGTCATCTTTCAGCCGGATTCATTGATGTTCACACTTTTGTTGCCACCGTGTTCAATGCGTCTACCTCTTATTTTTCTGTTACAATAAAGGCAGAGCATGGACTCTTGTTTTGTGCAATATGAGTATCAATCTGTCGGGGAAATAATGACACTCCGTCGTATCAAAAATCGCATCGAAGAGAAAATGAATTATATCGCGGAAAAATCAAACTGCCTAGCATTTCAGCGACACGATCGGCGCAGCGACATTGTGCTCATTATTTTCCCGACAGACTGATATCCTGTTTCAAAAACCAGTGCGAATAATCCACTCAGCGCGTCGGAGAAGGTGCGTGTCAGAACATGAACTGTCCTGCTTATTTTAGATGAACCGAGTGTTGGTGGTGGGATGACGTTGCATCGTTCAAAATCCACTGTGCGAATGGGAAAAAATGTCAGTGCACTTTGTGAAACTACCAAAAGACGACATAATTTCTTTTTTTTTTTTATTTGTTCGGCTTTTGAATCGATTTCTGTTAGTGTCTCACGCATTTCTCATGTTTATGGCATACGGTAAGCTGATAACCATCCCATTTTAGCTCAAAATATTGTTCTCTTTTCCTGCACGTTCCTCGCCTGTCGTTGAAATTCCCATTTTTCAACACAAACCCCCCGTTTTCCGTGCATTTCCCGGCTGATAAGAGCGGCCTTGAATTCTTGTTGGGATTCGTTGAAATTTGCCTCGTAATAATGTTGAAAGCTGCCCCACTGATAAGACCCTTTAGATGGACGGCCTGCCTGAGGCACTCTAATCGAACGTGTCGAAATCGAAGTGAAAGGCCGACGGCGTTACGTGCGTCGGAGCGCTACGTGCCAGCGCCCGCGACGAGGGCCCTGGGCGAGCTGCGAAACGGCCTCTGGCGTGACGATCCCCATGTTTGGCTCTTATCAGCGAAGCAGAGTTAAGGGAACAAGGCGTTGAAAACAAAAGTACGGTATGTGATCAACGTCCATGCAACGAAAGGAAAAGGAAATTAAAAACGAGTTTTTTCGGGCTTGGGAAGGGCAATGACGTGCAAAATCGGGCTTGACAATATCATTATTACTATGCTAAAAACTTAGTTGAAATGGGATTGGGTTTCCTTGAAATGCCTAGAAATTTTCGATGAAATTTGAGTGCAGTGTTGATCGCAGGCATGAGCTGTGTTCTAGCCCTTTTGCTGGGTTGATTTTTGGCGTTTGCACTTTGCAAGAAAGTCATGGTGCGAGCGACAGCCAAAAAAAAACATATTGCACGTAAGCATGGCTGCAATCCGGGCCAGCCCGGCCCGATATTGAAAGCCCGGCAAAATTCCGGAGCCGGGCCGCGAAAGTGGTCGGCCTGGCCCGGGCCGGAAAATTTTTTAAAGCCAGGCCCAGAGCCATGCCTAATTGCATGGGGTGAAAAGCAAAAAATTGCACAGTGCAAGATGAACTTTTGTGCTTCCACAGTGCAGTAAAACAGGGTTATAAAAATTCCTTAAGCAATAAAAGTGAGTGATGCGATTCCCGAATTTTCTTGAACTTCGTTTTATTTGAAGTCTGGGACCTTTACGTCAACTGATCAAAATTTTGGCTCGTTCTGATCGCAAGTGAGACACTTTTCTGCGACAAATCCACACAAGGCTTACGGCGACATACTATTTATTATTTAGCATTTTCACAAAGTGCCTGGACTTCCTTTCGCTTTTGCACAGTGCATTTAAATTTTTTTTTGCCAACGCCTTGGCTACTCATGGAAGTGCGGACAGCAACAAATATCCAGGCCCTTTGCGAAAATGCTAATAGTCGCGCCACAAAGTCCTGACACATTTTTTGCTGATGTCGTGCGAGAAAACTGTAGTGAGCTCCCGCGAAAGTGCATGTCGCTAGTGCAAAAACGGGGAATTGCCGCGACACGCGCGAGAAAAAAAAAAACAAAAACGCACCGTGCAAATATGTCAGGACTTTATGTCGCGACTAGTAATGTCCGAAGGATTTTTGCCTACGTCGCCCGTGAAATTTGGAGTTATCTTGTGAAAAAGAGCACGTAAACTTTTAGTTGGACCCAAATAATGAGCACAGCGTCGCTGCGTCGATTGTGTCGCTGAAGTGAAAAGCAATTTGATTTTGTCGCGACATATTCGTTTTCTGCGATGCGGTTTTCGGTGCGACAGAGTGCTCATTATTTTCTCGACGGGCTGATATCTGTAGAATCATCTTGTACTTTCGAGAACCGTGGGCTATTAAAGTCAGGCATTCTCGAAACATTCCAAGCCGTTTCCGTTTTTGTTGGAAAGTTTTTCTCCTACAAATTGCTTCCAGAATGCAAACCGCCCAAAGATCCGATGGCCTATAAAAAACAAGGAGATAAGCGATATCCGCATTCCAATAATCTGCCAAAACGAGTCAATAAGCGGATGTTTTTTTGGGAACATCGGGAGAAATTTTGCTCAATTTGTTTGAGGAATACAATGTGTGACTTGTGTTTTGAAAAAACAAATTTTGATTGTTCTAGATTTGTAAGCTATTTTTTTTGGAAAAATAACACTTTTATCGGCATAAAGAACCGGTAAATCAACTACTAGTATTATATCAGTCTGTCGGGACTTTGTCCCATCGAAAATCGCCGACGAAAAAATGGCTTGTGTCGCGCAAAACCAATTTTTTTTTCATTTCAGCGACACGATTGGCGCAGCGACATTGTGCTCATTATTTTCCCGACAAACGGGGCAAAGAGAATTTTTCATGGTACCACAAGCATCAGTCTGTCGGGAAAATAATGTGGATTTCCTCGCACCTTTATACTGTCCGTTGGTGAAGTTGCTAGAGCGATTTTCGCGACATGCACTGTGCGAAAACAAAAGTTTACTTTGCACTGTGCAATTTCTTGCTCTTTTGCACGGTGCAAATCGGAGTTTGCGCGGTGCAAAGTCTATGGACTTTATGAAAATATTTGTATATCTAGGCACTCCTACGACACTACAGTAAAGTTTTTACGTAGCCTTACATCTATTAAAAAATCTACGTAGGCACATGCCCTCTAAAAATGGCATTTCCAGCTATTGTTTACAAGGCTTACAAATTCAAATTCCACAGCAAAACAGTACGGCTTTCCATTCTGGGAAATGCCTTGATATGAATATTTTTACCAACAACCTGCAATTAGTATTTTCATAAAGTGCACGGACCTTTTGTCGACCTCTGCACCCTGCACAAAACACTCCCGCTTTGCACCGTGCATTTGACATTTTGCACGGTGCAATCGAACGTCGCGCGACAAAAGAAATTTTTTGCGGAGTCGCTGCGACGTTTTGGAATGGTTTTTGCGCGATGAGTGAAAATGAACAGTGCAAAGAGTTCAAAAAGCCCGCACCGTGCGGAAAA